GAACGTCTGTCTAGGAGCCAGTTCAGGCGGAAGTGTCAGCCCCGGGCCTCCCTCACCAGGAGTGAAAGTGTGGCCAGCGACTAGGGAAACAGGGTTTGGCTCCCGAGTGACACTGACGGGGCTTGTAAGCACCTGCAGCATTTCTAGAACCACCAGCTCAGGCCCTGGCGCTCAGAGCTGAGCAGATCCTGCCGGCGTGGGGCTCAGCTGCCTCGGGGTGACAGGAGCCATCCACTCTCTTCTTTGGGCTCTGCTTGTTTCGAGGGGCTCCAGGCCGAGAAGCAGGTCCCATCTGCCAAGGCAAGGTCCTGTCCATTGGTACTCACACCCCCCCCCCCCCCCCCCCCCCCTGGAGCTCTGCCAGGAGCCACCCCCTTCTCCCTCAGGTCCGGGTCAAGGAGCCAGTGTCCTTTCCCGGCCTGCCCTGCTCCCAGCCCAGTTAATTGAGTTGCTTTATCAGCCATCACCACTGAGGGGAGGGCATAGGGCCTTTCCCCTCGTGGAAGGAGAAGGGAAGGAAGGGTGAGAGGAGGCTGCGGGCCTCCAGATTGTTTATCGGTTGATTTAACCCCGCCCCCCCTCCCCCCGAGACACACAGGCTCCAACCCAAATGCTGAGAGCCTTCCCAGGCCGGGCCTGGGGGGGACCAGCGTGGAGCATAGCCCACGGCCCCGTGGAGGTCAGCTGAACGGCTCTGCACGGGGCTGAAGGCAGGGTTTGGTGGCTGTGAAAACCCTAGTGAAGGTGCATTTGGGGCTCTGGGGAGCTCCAGAGATGGCCTTGATGGCCCAGCTCTTGAAGGGAAAGGACCAGAAGGGTGCAGGTCACACACTCGGGCCTGGCCAGGACTCAGAGCCTTGTAAAGCGTGGACTTGGAACCCAAGGGCTGTCAGGGGCCCGAGTGCCTGTTCCCAGGCACATTCTCCTTGAGAGGTTTCAGGCCCTGGAGCAGCAGTGAGCTCCGGGGACCAAGGGCAGTGAGTGACACAGGGGACCGTGGCCTCTGGTTCATGGGAGTCACAGGGCCAGGGCCAGCTAGGTGGCCCCCAGAGCCCTCCTTGCTCAGGGCTGCCGAGGTAGAGACCCAGCCTACGTCCAGAGCGCACGCACGTACCTTAGCTCAGGGCCCAGCTGGCGAGACTGAGCACTCAGCATGTCTCCATCTCCATTCCTCCCACCTGGGCTAAATTCCAGCTTAACTGGTTCATTCCATTAGAACAGTTCATCAGTCCTGATGGACCGGCCCCCTCCTGCAGTGTCCTGGGGACAGGGAAGCCTCAACTGGAGAGGCAGCCGAACCCTGGCTCCTCGTAGATGCTCACGAAGCCCAGGGGCAGCGTGGGGAGAATGAACACCCAGCACCCAACCGGCTCCAGCCCAGGGAGCCCCAGGGTGGCTCAGCCCCGTCTTCCTGCCCCGCGGCTGGCACTGTGCCAGGCACGGAGTGACCCCAACGAGGGTGTGTTTTTTGTTGAGGGACAGACGTCGTCTTCTCCTCATTCTCCAGGTTTCTTCCTACAGAAGACGATGTTTAAGTAAAGGACGCAATGGTGTGCCTGGCACCGTGGGTATGAGGGGCAGGACGTTCCACGCCAGGTTATGAGGCCTCTGCCAGGCAGGCCCTGCCTGGTCCTTCTTTGTATGTAATTCTCAGTGCTGAGCACAATCCTGGGCGCTCAGAACGCTCGTTGCATGGACCCGATGAGGCAGTGGGATGCGGGGGCAGCTTCACCTCTTGTCCCTTGAAATGGCCTCTCGGGCACCCTGAGCCATCACAGAAGGAGTCTGCCACCCGGAGATGAGCGACGCTCCCGAGGCCGCACTCCTCTGGTGACAGTCGGAGCCCAGCCCTGCGGCCGTTGTCCCCAGGCGCCAGCCGTCTGGATGAGCGCGAGCGAGGCTGCCGTGGACCCTCCGACGGGCGCGTCTGGCCTCAGTGGACACCAGGAGAGTCGCTCAGACAAGCCCTGCCTGAATCCCTCCCTCAAAACACCATGGGTATAATAAAACGGTTGTTGTAAGCCACTAAGATTTGGGGTCACCTGAATCACAGCAATATGCATCGTCTCATTTCAATCCATTCATTTTACTTGTTTTACAGACTAGGAGATGTAAGCGCCGAGGCCTCGGTCTCCCAGGAGGCAGAGGGCCTAGCTGGCGTTTGAACTTGAACGTGGGAAGTCTGGCTCCGTACTCCCTCAAACCAGCCGTGTTAGACTGCTTCTTAGGGGGTTGGTGTGTCCCTCCTGATAGGAGGGTTGATATTTCAACCAAAAACAATACCTACAACCACAGGGTTGAATAAATTTTCAAGGCGTGACATTTCCAGCACCAAGATATTCCCCGGTTAGAGAGACATATGGGAAGGTTTGGGGTTGGTGTGGGGGGAGAAGAGGTTCCCTCTCCTTTCCCCAACTCAGGACAATGGGAATGGTTTCTTTATCCTTGTGCAGCCATAGCTGGCACAGAGCCTGTTACAGTGGATGCCTAATAAGTGTTTGTTTATCCCTGGCTAGGTAGCTCAATTGGTTAGAGCGGCGTCCCACGAGGCCAAGGTTGCTGGGTTCAATCCCCCCCCTGCCCCCCCCAGAGCACATCCAAGAATCAACCAATAAATGCATAAATAAGTGGAACAAAAAATGGATGTTTCTATCTCCTTCCCTTTCTTTCTCTAAAAACAAAATCAGTTATAAAAATAAGTGTTTGTTCAACGAATAGACTAATCCACAATGGAGTAAGTGATGGAGGACAAGGGGACCAAGATCTGGATAGAAAGGTTTTCCTGCCATCTGCTGGCCATTCCTGGAACAACACCGTCTCCTCCGGCAGGAGAAGGAAATGGAGAGACCCTGGGAGGACCTTGGCTGGCAGCTCATTCCAGGCTGGAGAGGGGTGCCGTTGGCGTGGGGGGGGGGGGGGGGGCTTCCCTCTCCCCAGAAGCCAGTCCGTGGGGGGTGGGGGGGGGGCTTCCCTCTCCCCAGAAGCCAGTCTGTGCTCCTTGAGAGTGAGGCACGAAGCAGCAATCCCCCCACCCGCAGCTCCGTAGGTGCTTACTAAACACTTAAATTCATGACAAATTCCCTATTTCATCTTTACCTTCTGTTTGAAGAGAGGGGCTGCTCTCTCACGACTTAGAACGTGGCTTGCTCCAAGGAACCCTGCTGCCCCTTCCCTGGCTCTCAGGCCTGCCCAGCCCCAGCCCCT